AAGGCAGGCGCCAAACCGCTGCGCCACCCAGGGATCCTAGGGTCCATGTCTTAAAAATAATGATGATGGCTTTCACTTTTTAATCATTTCACAAATAAGACAGTTATTTAAGTATTTTCCTTTTCTAAAAAGGAACAGTTTTGGGGCTCCTGGGTGATTCAGTGGGTTAAGCATCTGACTCTTGGTTTCTGCTCAGGTCATGTTCTTAGCATATTGAGATGGAGCTCCATGTTGGGCTCTCAGCATGGAGTCAGCTTCATATTCTCTCCCCTTCAGCTTTTCCCTCCAATCTGTTTTAAATAAATAAATAAAATCCTTAAAAAAAAAAAAGTGGAAGGGTGCCTGGTTGGCTTATTTGGTTGAGCATCCAAGTCTTGGTTTGGGTTCAGGTCATGACCTCAGAGTCTGTGGGATCAACCCCAAGGTCGGCTCTGTGCTCAGCATGGAGCTGGCTTGTCCCTCTCCCTTGGCCCCTCCCTCTGCTTACACACACTCTCTCTCTCTTGCTCTCTCACTCCAAGTAACTAAATAAAATCTTTAAAAGAAAAAAGGAACAGTTTTGAGTCTTGACTGAATGAAAGGAAAGTGAGCTGGCTCCTGGTGGTCAGATGAACATGAAACAGTTTCTTACTCAGCTGAACACTGGAAGCTCTGAGGCGCTTTTGACTATTGTAGTGTTTTATTCTGAGTCATATATACATTAAAAACGTACCCACAATGAATAATAGTTAAAGCATAAGCCACCTTGATGTTGAAATACTAGTTAATGAGCTTACACATGATAGCTCTGCAAATGTGCCCTTAAGGTACTCTTCAACATTGCTGTGAATTGCATTCATCTAATAAAAAATCTTATCTAGCACATCAAGCAATTTCTGGGTTTTCAGAAAGCAACATTACAAAGAGACAATACAGTGAGGGTTTGGGAGGTAGGGATGGGAAGTGGTTGCTAACAGATATGGGGTTTCCTGTTGGGGTGATGAAAATGTTCTGGAGTTAGATAGTAGTGATGGTTGCACAACTATGTAAATAGATTTAAAACCACTGAACTGGGACGTCTGGCTGAGTGTTTGCCTTTAGCTCAGGTCATGATCTCCGGGTCTGGGAGCAAGTCCTGCATTGGGCTCCTTGCAGGCAACCTGCTTCTCTCTCTGCCTGTGTCTCTGCCTCTCTCTCTGTGTCTCTCATGAATAAATAAATTAAAAACAAAACAAAACAAAAACCCTGAACTGTACACATTAAATGGGTAAACCATGTGGCATATGGATTTTATCTTAATAAAGCTGTTATTTTTAAAAGTCATTTGAATTTTGCATTCTAATCGAGAATATATGTTTATCAGGTTTAGCACCGCCTTCAGCCCAGGGTGTGATCCTGGAGTCCTGGGATCGAGTCCCATATTGGGCTCCCGGCATGGAGCCTGCTTCTCCCTCTGCCTGTGTCTCTGCCTCTCTCTTTCTCTCTCTGTGTGTGTCTCTCATGAATAAATAAATGAAATCTTAAAAAAATATGATTATCTTCATGTGAAAGTAACTTTCCCTAAATCATTGCACTTAAAAACGAAAAAAAAAAAAAAAAAAAAAAAAACCAACCCACTGTTATTTCAAGGAATCTATCCTGTGGAAATAACCCTAAATATTAAAGAAAGAAACTCTTTGTGCATGATGATGCTCAATGTATCATGGTTTAAAACAATAAGAAATCAGTAATAAGAAATCAGTAATAAGCCTGGGTGGCTCAGCAGTTGAGTGTCTGCCTTTGGTTCAGGGCCTGATCCTGAATTACCAGGATCAATCTAGTCCCACATTGGGCTCCCTGCATGGAGCCTGCTTCCCCTCCCTCTGCCTGTGTCTCTGCCTCTCTCTCTGTCTCTCATGAATAAATAAATAAAATGTTTAGAACAAAATTTAAAAATAAAATTATGGCTCTAAAATTATGATTATAAGATACAAGTCCAACACAGTGACTGGTTATGTATGGTTATGATAAATATACATAGTGGATTACCATGTAACTTTTAAGGATATGATGGGGAAGAATTTTTTTAAAGGTTTTATTTTAATTTATTCTTATTTTTTAATTTTTAAAAATTTTGTTTTGAAGATTGTATTGATTTATTTGAGAGAGAGAAAGAGTGCACAGGAGGGGGTAGAGGGGAAAACAGAGAGGGAGAAGTAACCTTGAGCAGGGAGCCCCATGTGAGGCTCAATCCCAGGACCTCCAGACCATGACCCCAGCTGAAGGCAAACACCCCACTGACTGAGCCACCCAGACACACCAAAGGTTCTATTTTTCAATAATCTCTACACCCAACGTGGGGCTCGGTATTACAACTCTGAGATCAAGAGTTGCATGATCTACTGGCTAAGCCAGCCAGGTGCCCTGGGAAGAATATTTATAAATGTGGAGAAAATGCTAATAGTGAATTAGGTGACAAATGTGGGCAAGATATTATGAAGCTATGTACACAGATGGATGACAAAATATAGAATCCAATGATTTCTTTTGTGTAGGAGTTAATATGATAATGTTCTATTTATTCATTTATTTATTTAATAGACTTCATGTTTTGAGTGTGGCTTAGCTTTACAGCAAAATTGAGTGGAAGTTACGGAGATTTCCTATATACTCCCTACCTCACATGCACAGTTTCCCTATTATCAATATTCCCCACCAGAGTGGTGCACAACTAGTGAACCTACAGTGACACATCATTGTCACCTGAAGCATATGGTTTACTTTAGGACTTACTCTTGGTGTTGTCCATGGTTCAGACAAGCATACAATGACAGGTATTCAGCATTACAGTATCATACAGTGTGTTTTACTGTCCTAAAAATCCTCTGTGTTATGCCTATTCATTCCTCTCTCCCCACACCCCTTAGAAACCATTAATCTGGGATCCCTGGGTGGCGCAGCGGTTTAGCGCCTGCCTTTGGCCCAGGGCGCGATCCTGGAGACCCGGGATCAAATCCCACATTGGGCTCCTGGTGCATGGAGCCTGCTTCTCCCTCTGCCTATGTCTCTGCCTCTCTCTCTCTCTCTCTCTCCTCTCTCTGTGTGTGACTATCATAAATAAATAAAAAAAATTTCTAAAAAAATTAGAAAGCATTAATCTTTTCCCTATCTCCATTGTTTTGCCTTTTTCAGAATGTTATATAGTTGGAATCATGCAAATGTAGCTTTTTCAGATGACTCCCTTCCACTTAGTAAAATGCTTTCAAGTTTCCTTTGTGTCTTTTCATGCCATATAGCTCGTTTCTTTTTAGTGCTGAATAATATGCCATTATCTGGATGTATCAGTTTATCCATTCATTCACCTACCAGAGCACATCTTGATTGTTTTCAAGTTTTGGTAATTATGAATAAAGCTGCTATAAACAAGTTTCTGTGTTGTGGATATAAGTTTTCCAATTTCTTGGTTGCACGACTGCTGGATTGTGTAGTGAGTGTACAGTACATTTTGTAAGGAACTGCCCAACTATCTTCCAAAGTGGTTTTATATTTTGCATTCCAGCAGCAATGAATGAGAGTTTTATTGCTCTACATCCTTGCTAGCATTTAGTGTTGTCAGTGTTCTGGATTTTGGCCATTTTGATATAGGTGTGTAGTGGTGTATTATTCTTTATAGTTACTTTATTCAAGTTTTCCACATTGACCAGACATTATTTTTGTAACAGAAAAAAATGCATTATAAAATAGAAAGCTACAGGGGCGCCTGGGTGGCTCAGTCAGTTAAGGATCTTCCTTCAGCTCAGATCATGATCCCAGGGTCCTGGGGTCAAGTCCTGCATCTCCTGCTCCTCCTGCTTGTGCTCTCTCTCTCTCTAATAAGTAAGTAAAATCTTAAAAACAAACAAACAAACAAACAAACCATAATACAAAATAATACTTCTAGAACAACTGTGGCTTTAAATAGTTTAAAAAATGTATCACAGTTTAGCTTTTCATTTAGTGGGACAAAAAGACGGGTTCCACTCAAAATGTGTTGTTTGTAGGTAAGTACTTGCCAAAAGCATTTTGAAATCTCTATTTTCTTATTATTTAAAAAGTTATAATAAATTATAAAACCATACACTATTGTAAAAAATGTGGTACTTTAAAAGGAAAAAGGCAAGAATTCTAAACAAGTCATGAAAGCATTATTTGACTACCTATAAATCCATAAACAATTACATTTCATCCTACATATTCAGTATATATACGCATAGGTATGATATAATGTGATTTAAAAAAGATTTTATTTATTTATTCATGAGAGACAGAGAAAGAGAGAGAGAGAGAGAGAAAGGCAGAGACACAGGCAGAGGGAGAAGCAGGCTCCATGCAGGGAGCCGGATGCGGGACTCCTGGGCCGAAGGCAGGCGCCCAACCGCTGAGCCACCCAGGGATCCCCCACAGAGCTACTTTAAAGGTTAAACTAGACTATACTTGTAAAAGTACAGAACCTGTTACAGGGTAAAGCCTCAAAAAATGTTAATTATCCTTACGCCTCTGGGGCGGATGAAGAGGAATGATTCTCCACCTATGGCCATACATCCTCTTACTCAAATTAAAATCCAGAGGATAAAGGGCAACCTTGCTAGACACACATCATTTCGTCGTCCACGAGCACAGAATCCGCCACAGACCAACCACATCACCACTAAGATGCAGGGCACTCTCCCTTGCACCCCATCTGTCCCTATTCCTAGTCGCGCTTCCCAGCCCACCTATTCCAGTCACTCTTCCCTCTTTGCCCCGCCCAGAGACGTAGACTTTTTTTTTTTTTTTTCTTCTCCCTCCATCCTTTCTAGTTCTAACTTTCCCGCCCCGGTAGCTCTTGACCAATCAGGGATGGAATTGTCTTATCTTTCCCCACCTCTTGGTGACGTTCTAGGAATAATACCTCTTATTGGGTATCCTAGAGCAGAAGCCTACCAATAACCGGCAGGCTTTTTTGGTGCCGACGGACCGCTAGTAATATCGCTGCTGATTGGCTGGAGTGGCGAGACGGGAAAATGGCTGCGAGTCCGTCTGTAGTCCCGGTGGCTGTGACTGCTGCGGTGGTGCCGGTCTTGTCATCGAGCAGCGATTTCTCAAATTTGCGAGAAATTAAGAAGCAGCTGCTACTCATCGCAGGCCTTACGCGGGAGCGGGGCCTACTGCATAGTAGCAAGTGGTGAGCTGTCGGGGTCGGAAGGGGCTGGGCTTGGATCCTTGGCCTTTGGGGCTCTGGAGCTAATACAGTTTGGGTGTTCCAGGTCCGCGGAGTTGGCCTTTTCCCTCCCCGCCTTGCCTCTGGCGGAGCTGCAGCCACCGCCGCCTATTACAGAGGTGAGGACTCCCGTCACTGCGAGCGCTCCTCCGCAACCGCGAAGGGTTACCGAGTGTCCCGTCGCCGGATGGGAGAGCATCCTGCTTGGCAGGAATGTTTGTGGAGGGAACTCAAGTATTCAAGGAGCTGAGTGTTCTAAGCGATTTTGTGTGGTTTTGTTGATCTTTGTAAAGATTTGGTGGTGCTTTACTTAAGCTGGAGAGGATTAGTAAATAACCCTTGCTTAAGATTTCAGCCTTTGGAGGTTTCGTAGCCCAGCCCCGACAGTGTTCTCAACGAGGAGAAGAATCAGAGGTTTCAACAACAGTGCGAAACTGGCTTTGATTCACGTAGCTCTGGGTTCAAATCTCAGCTACACTAGGGACTTTTGGCAACTTACATAATATCTTCAGCCACAGTTTTTTCATCTGTGAAATGCAGATAATAATAGTATCTACTTTAAGGGGATATTGAGAAAAGCAAATGGGGTATGAATATATTTTATGTATGATCTATAGAGCAGGCATTTTTATATAGTCTGTGTAGTCTGAATGATTTTCATCATAATCCATTGTTTTTCCTGAAGATGCCATTTCTTGACACACACACCCCCAAAACGCATTCACTTAAAGACTGAATATTTACTACCCCAAAAGGCATAATGCACATGTGGGCGGGGGTGGGGTGGGGAGTGGTATAAGAAAATGATGAGTGAATGTGAAAAAGGCCACTAGACTCCTAAGCTGAATGGACACATTTAAGACTTGTTACTCCAATGAAGAAAACACTGAATACGTTTTGGTTCCAGTTTTGTTCTGGTAATAATTGGGGCAAGAAGGAAGAGGAGAATGAAGTTATTAAAATTTTAATCAACTTATCCCTAGAATTTGGGGAGATTGTATGCTTTTTAAACTTAAATGTGCATCATATATTTACATAAAGAAGTATGTCTGTGTCTTATGCTTTTTGCAATACTAACATGTCACAACCTTTTGAAGTATAAAAAATAAAAGTAATTGGACAGTTTATTGCATTTTTTGTACATATTTGAAAACCTAGAAGAGGAAGCAAATGTCTGATATTAATGCTAGACATTCTCCATGATTTTTCTACTTTTTCCTCATCAAATTTCTACTACTTGCTCCATTTTACTGATGAAGAAATGAATTCTCAGAGAAACTAAGTAACTTACCTGCTAATGTCATGAAACTAGGAAATCAAGGAAATGGAATTTGAATCCAGGTTCCTAACACTAAAGCCTATGCAACTTCCCACTGCATTTAAAGAAATAATACACGTTTCTTAGTGTCCTGGTTTGTTTGTTTGTTTGTTTGTTTATTTATTTATTTATTTATTTATTTATTTATTTATTTTTAAGATTTAATTTATATATTCATAAGGGAAACAGAGGCAGAGACATAGGCAGAGGAAGAAGCAGGCTCCCTGCGAGGAGCCTAATGCGAGACTCCATCCCAGGATCCCCAGATCACATGACCTGAGCCAAAGGCAGATGCTTAACCACTGAGCCACCCAGGCATCCCATCTTGGTTTAGTTTTTTAAATTTTATTTTTTCCCCCAACTTTTTATTTGAAAAAAAGGTTCCATGACCTTAGTTTGTAATAAAATAATATACAAAAGTAACTTACATATATATGTATATGTAAATCTTTTTTTTTTGTATATGTAAATCTATATATGTGTACACATATATATGCTAGGTTTTTGGGAGGGAGAAAATACTATTGCTTACATCTTGAAATTAATGAATATGCTTCTTGAATATGATTTTCTGTTGTCTTATTCTGTAACACATAAACTTGTGTCTCTTCTAGGAGGATGCCCAGGATATGGATGCTTACACCCTGGCCAAAGCCTACTTTGATGTTAAAGAATATGATCGAGCAGCACATTTCCTGCATGGCTGCAATAGCAAGAAAGCCTATTTCCTATACATGTATTCCAGATATCTGGTGAGGGCGATTTTAAGATGTCATTCTGCTTTTATTGAAGCATCCATATTTAATACCAAGAGGAATACATTTAACAAGTAGCCTACTTGTTAAATGTACTTTATAAATACTTAACAGTAATAAAGAAGGTATCATAAAGTTAAAAAGTGACAGTATAAAAGAAAATATTAAAAATATTGATAGGGGTACCTGGCTGGTTCAGTCAGTGGAACATGTGACTTTTGATGTCGGGGTCATGAGTTTGAGCCCCGCTTTGGGTATCGTGATTACTTAAAAAAATAAAATCTTTAAACAAAATTGACACTACATTTTTTTTCTTTTTAAACAAAATGTTTCTTGTTTCTTTCCTTTTTAAAAAGATTTTATTTATTTGAAAGAGAAAGAGAGAGAGCAGTAGTGGAGGAGGGTCAGAGAGAGGAGTCGACTCCCTACTGAGCAGGGAGCCAGACGTCGTGCTCAATATCGGGACTTTGGGATCATGATCTGAGCCAAAGGCAAATGCTTAACTGACTGAACCACCCAAGTGCCTTGACAATATGTATTTTTTTTGTTTTATTTATAACTCACAACCCCAAACTCACACGTCGTGTGTTCTTCCAACTGAGCCAGCCATGTGCCCCAATATTACTCATTATTGACAAAGGTGTGAGGCAATAGACTCCTTATTTTAGTAGTAAAAGTTTGTAAAGATGTTTTGGTAGTCAGTTTTGTCATATTATGTCCATTTGAAATACTATGACCAGACAATTCTACTTTAAGAAACTTAACTTGTCCAGTAGAAATACCTCAATATATGTACAAGGATATATGAACAGGGATGTTTATTAAAGTATTTTTTATAATAGCCATAAAATGCCAGTAACCTAAATAGTCATGGTTAATTCTTGCATAAAGTATTCTTTACTATGATGTTGCAAATGATGATTTTTCATGCCAGTGTTCTCTCCACATTTACTACTTGCTACTTGGTGTTCTACTCTGCATGAGCTTTCCCTCCCCTTCTCCATTTATTTGTTTAATATCATTATGAACTAGAAGATTTCCTGTATTTTTGTTTATAATTTAGTACTGTACTTAATTATTTTGGTTCTCAAATTATTCCAGATTTGAACAGTGGGATACTGTTGTTTAAAAGTAGTGACCCTGGGGCACACGGGTGGTGCAGTTGATTGAGGCTCTGACTCCCAGTTTCCATTCTGGGTTGATCTCAGGATGATGAGATTCCCCCCCACACACCCCCAATGGCGGGCTCTGCACTTAGCGAGGAGTATGCTTGGGACTGTCTTTCCCTCGGTTCCTCTCCCCCTACTCTTTCTCTGACTTTCTCTCCCTCTCTAAAATAAGTAAATCTTTAAAAAAATAAAAAAAAATAAGAGTAGTGATTAGTAGTAATTGCCATTTTGGTTGGACTTAGGCCTGTTAGCTGGAATCAGGTTGCTAGTTTTAGAATGAGTTTCAGAATAAACAGAAAAGACCTTTATGTTGATTTTCTTTTTTTCTCTTTTATATTTCTCAGTCTGGAGAAAAGAAGAAGGATGATGAAACAGTTGATAGCCTAGGTACGAATTTCTTTCCCTTACCTCTTGGATTAAAGTAGGGGTTGTACACTTAAATGCCTATCTGAGCCAGACAGGTAATAGAAACTTGTGAAGTGGACCTAGGAGGACTGTTGCAGATTGGGGAGCACAACTTCCTGCTTGTTACATACCTCTGGCTGAGGACTGCCTTGAGGAAATGCAGGCCTAGTGTTGTCAAGGCTCTCTTCCCTCATCTCTACCTACCCCATTCTTTGGAACCTGAAGCTGGAAATTCAGGTTTTTAGTTGAAGCTTTGATTTTTAAACATTGATAACTATTTCAAGTTTTTAAAAACCTCTGTGGGCCTGGGGTATCTAGGTTGCTCAGTCGGTTGGGCAACTGACTCTTGATTTTGGCTTGGGTCATGATCTCAGGGTCATGAAGTGAAGCCCTACTATAAGCTGTACGCTCAGCTAAGAGTCTGCTTGAGATTCTCTCTCTTTCCCTCTTCCTTCCTCCCCTGCTTGCACTCTTTTTCTCTCTCTCAGTCTAAAATAAATAAATAAATCTTAAAAAAAAAAATGAAAACCCTCTGTGGGACTAACAAAATATGACTGCAGACCAGTTATCGGGTGTAATTTCTGGGACAAAGTAAATGGATTGTGTTAAGATGTTATTGCTCACTTCTGAGTATTTGCTGGAGGTTCCAGGTGTAACTTTGGTTGATACCAAAGGGAATGTCTAGGCCTATGAAATGAACGTTGTTAGTCTTTCCTTAGATCTGAGATTTTGTTTCCCAGGTCCCCTGGAGAAAGGACAAGTAAAAAATGAGGCACTTAGAGAACTGAGAGTGGAGCTCAGCAAAAAACACCAGGCTCGGGAACTGGATGGATTTGGCCTTTATCTGTAAGCATTAGAGTAATTTGGATTTTTCTATAACATTTTCATCTAAATAGAAGGGGAGGTGTTATGAAACATTAACTTCTCCTGTGATTGTTTCTTTCCTTCTTAGATATGGTGTGGTGCTTCGAAAACTGGACCTGGTGAAAGAGGCCATTGATGTGTTTGTGGAGGCTACTCATGTTTTGCCTTTGCATTGGGGAGCCTGGCTAGAACTCTGTAACTTGATTACAGACAAAGAGATGGTAAATTGAGAAATTTATGTGAAAGATCCTCTGCTCCAAGTCTTATGTAATTCTGTAATGGGATGGGAGGAGAGAGGTTTGCTAAACCTTTGCTTGTAGCTAGGTCTACTCCTTCTCTAATGTCTTCCACTGTGGGAATTTCAGTCTTCATTTGAAAGACCCATGTCTGGCTCTTGTCTGGAAGTTGCTGTTGGATTTGTGTGTAGTTATATTAGAGTATCTTCTCTTTATTTAATGTTTCACATTCAAGTTTTACTGTAACTTGTATAGGCTATATGTTAGTATATTTTGTTTCCTCATTCCAAAGATGCCATAGGAAAGGTTTCTCTTTTTTTTTTTTTTTTTTTTTTTAAATCTTTTTTTTATTTATTTATGATAGTCACAGAGAGAAAGAGAGAGAGAGGCAGAGACACAGGCAGAGGGAGAAGCAGGCTCCATGCACCGGGAGCCCGACGTGGGATTCGATCCCGGGTCTCCAGGATCGTGCCCTGGGCCAAAGGCAGGCGCCAAACCGCTGCGCCACCCAGGGATCCCCAGGAAAGGTTTCTCTGATACCACGGATTGTGTTAACATTTTTAAGGTCTCTTCTGTGCTGTCCTAGGACTCTGTGGAGATTTATAGATTTGTTGATTAATGCAATAATATTTATGAAATAGCTTTATAAAATTTAGTCATTTTATTAGTCATTGTTAGAGGACATTGTCTACTGAGTTTATTTTGCCATACTTCAGTAGTTAATGGAATTGATAATAAAGCTTCATTGTTGGTTTTAAATAGCCAAAAGCTGGTTGATTTCCCCCAGTAATGATATATATGCTGCTAAATCTGTGTCTGAAATCTTATCTCAGTTTACTCCTATTTGTTATCTCTAAATGCCTACTAAACTTTCATTGAAAGTTTGTTTTTATCTCTGAACTCTAAATATGCAAAACCAAGTTTCTGATCTTGCCTGCTGAATTCTTTCTTCCTCCCAGCTTAAGAGGCGCTCTTGATAGCATCACTCTTTCTCAAGACACCAGGATACCTCATAGTCATATTTGTTCTCTGTCTCTTAATCTCCTTTTATTATCAGTTGCCAGACCTCGCCATGGTTTTCTTCTTGTACGCATCTCTTTCTCTTGGTTTTCTTTGGCATCTTGGTTTTCATCTTGGATTTGGATTACTTGTAATTAATAGCTACTTTTCTATCTAGCTTTTCCATTTGTACACTCCCATTCCCAAGCCTTCATGTTTTCAAACTTACCCTTAAAACACCCATGTCATCGTGTCATTCTCTTGCTAAATATTGTAGTGGCTTCCTATCACATCCTACTTCCTGTTGCCCTACCAGTTTACTCTTATTTTTGCACTACTTTTGAGCACATAGCCTCCCCTTCAAACTAAGCTAGTTTCTTCATCCTATTCATACACACTCATCAGTATTGTTTTGCCTCTCTTTATGTTGTTGCCCTGCCTAGAATGTTGTCTTTTCTTCTTATCCTCTCCTTTTCAAGTTCTATTCATCCTCTAAGACTCACTCGAAATCATAGCTTTTCTTTGAAGTCTTCCTCAACTAGATCATTCCTCCCAGTTGTGCTTGTAAGTCCTATTCACTTAATTAAATTACCCTGTGTTCATTTTTAGATGATCTCATAATGTTTTGGTGATAAGTTTCTTTTGACATTAAAGATAGTTCCTTGATGTTCATTTGGGAGAGAGGTCAAAGTATATTAAGTGTGTCCCTCTCTCTTCTGCTGCCAGCTGAAGTTCCTGTCTTTGCCAGACACCTGGATGAAAGAGTTTTTTCTGGCTCATATATACACAGAGTTGCAGTTGATAGAGGAGGCTCTGCAAAAGTATCAGAATCTCATTGATGTGGGCTTCTCTAAGAGCTCATATATTGTTTCCCAAATTGCAGTTGCCTATCACAATATCAGAGGTGAGTGAATAAGGACAATGAAATACCATCAAATCCTAAAGGTAGCACTATGTTGTTTTCTAACCTTTCTTATCTTCTTTCTACAGATATTGACAAAGCCCTTTCTATTTTTAATGAGCTGAGGAAACAAGATCCTTACAGGATTGAAAATATGGACACATTCTCCAACCTTCTTTATGTCAGGGTGAGCTGCTTCCTTTGCTTGGACTTGACCAAGCTCTTTTGTGCTTTAATCTCCTGGGTTGGATTGTCACTGAGTTGCATTAGCTATGAGAAAAATTATTTAGGGGCTTCCTCATTCATGCTTAGATTGTCTTTCTCTTTTCTTTCAGAGCATGAAATCTGAGTTGAGTTATCTGGCTCACAACCTCTGTGAGATAGATAAGTATCGTGTAGAGACATGTTGTGTAATTGGTAAGAGTCACTACTTTTTTCTTTAAAGATTTATTTTTATTGGGTCTCCTCCCTCTTCAGGACCTTTGTACTATCAATAAACTTTGCTTTGCTGCCCACAAAAAAAAAGAAAGAAAAGGAAAAAAAGATTTTTTTTAAAAGATTTATTTTTGTTGTAAGTAATGCAAGTACAAAAATCACGGCAGTATAAAAGCATCAAGGATAACAAAATTATATACTATAGAATGTAAAAATCTGGGTATAATCCTACCCCTGAGATTGGTGAGCATGACTCTAGGATATTTTTCTTGCTTTTTTTTTTTTTTTTTTGAATTTTATTTGTTTATTCATGAGAGACAAAGAAAGAGAGAGGCAGAGACACAGGCAGAGGGAGAAGCAGGCTCCATGCAGGGAGCCCGATGTGGAACTCGATCCTGGAACTCCAGGATCATGACTTGAGCCAAAGGCAGACGCTTAACTGCTGAGGCATCCCTCCAGGATATTTTTCTGTGTGAATACTAAAAATGTGTGTGTGGGTGCATGTGTGTGTATAATTTGCTTGCAAAAAGTGTGCCATTACACACACTGGTTTATTTATTTATTTTTTTTTTTAAATTTTTTTTATTTATTTATGATAGTCACAGAGAGAGAGAGAGGCAGAGACACAGACAGAGGGAGAAGCAGGCTCCATGCACCGGGAGCCCGACGTGGGATTCGATCCTGGGTCTCCAGGATCGCGCCCTGGGCCAGAGGCAGGCGCCAAACCGCTGCGCCACCCAGGGATCCCCACACACACTGGTTTATAACTTCCTCTTTTTTTTAAAAGAAAACTTAACAGTATATCTTTTTCATCTTTTTATTTAGTATATCCAGATTTATATTATTTTTGATGCCTATTTAGCATTTAATTACATTGATCTGCCATCATTTTTTTTAAATATTTTATTTATTTGTTCATGAGAGACACAGAGAGAGGGGCAGAGACATAGGCAGAAGGAGAAGCAGGTTCCCTGCAGGGAGCCTGAGATGAGACTTGATCCCAGGACCCTGTGATCATGACTTGAGGCAAAGGCAGACACTCTACCACTGAGCCACCTAGGCGCCCAATGTGCCATCATTTTTATGTAATCATATGTCTATTAAGTTGTAGCCACTGTTTGTTAATATATAAAAATAGTTTCAAGAACCATCTTTGTATGTGTACATTTGTTTTTGCATATTTATGCAACTATTTCTTTGCAATATATTCTTAACAGTGAAGCGTGGTTCAAAAGAGTATATTTTAACCTTATTATTACTAAAAAGTTTTTTAGAATTTCCAGACCTCTGAAAGGAGATGAGAGTCCCTGTTTCTCTGTGTAAGGGTATTTCAGTCTTTGTACTATTGACATTTTTGGGCTGATAATTTTTTGTGGGGAGCTGTCCTGTCCATTGTAGGGTGTTAGCAGTATGCCTCTCCTCTACCCACTAGATGTCAGCAACCCCCTTCCACTAGTTGTGGCAACCAAAAACGTATGCAAATATTGCCAACTCTTGGGGTTAGAATCATCTAGTGGTTGATGAATCATCCATGATCCTATGTGCTCTTTCACACTAGTTGTGACCTGATCACTTGACATAAACACATCAGTGGCCACTTTTGGATAAAAGTAAGGTTGGTTGTTTGTGATTGAAAGCCTAGGTTCCCTGGAAGTGAAAGAGAGATGTCTGTTGCTTGGTGTTTGATGACACCGCATTGAGATCATACATTCATATCTCTTTAGGTCAGGAAGTTCTTTTTTTTTTTTTTTTTTAGGAAGTTCTTAATAAAGTGGTAGAATTTCAGTCCACCAATTCAATATTTCTAGCTCTTGAGGAAGTTGTAGTTCAGTATGGGAAATAAGTATTAAAAAAAAATAGGGCCTATTGGAGCATAGGTGAGGGTAAGAATAAATGATATTTTCAGTAAAGTCCATTAAGATGAAGGCAGAGCTCTCTTTTATTCAGAAAACATCTTTTGAGCTTCTGAGTGCCAGGCACTGTGCCATATATTGTAGTATCTATGCTAACTGCCTGCTGAGGACAAGACTAATAAACTAATAACTATAGTGCAATGGGTTGAGTGTTAGAATTGATGTAAACCAAAGATACTAAGAGAGTACATAGGAAAGATATCTAATCTAGCCTATGATTAGGGAAGTCTTGAGGAGGTAGTGCTTGAAGGCTGGGCAGAAGTGAAAGAGTTCAGTAGGGGAGGTAAAGGATTGACTTGGGAAAGGCATTGCATTGCAGAAGCCCTGAAGTGTGAAACAGGCATTGTGCCTAAAGTAGCTGCACATCTGGAAGCATGGTCTGGGAGGTAGGAATGTTCAAAAAGGGGCCAAATCTTGAAGTTTTTTTTTCTTTTCTTTCTTTTTAAAGTTTAAGATTTTATTTATTTATGAGAGACACACAGAGAGAGGCAGAGACATAGAGGGAGAAGCAGACTCCCTGCAGGGAGCCTGATGTGGGACTTGATCACAGGACCCCAGGATCACAACCTGAGCTGAAGGCAGGCTCAACCACTGAGCCACCCAGGTGCCCCTCTTGAAGAGTGTTTTGTGCCTTGCTGAACATTATTATTTTGAAGGAAATAGGAGTCTTCTGAAGGATTTTAAACCAGAAAGTTGGGGATCCCTGGGTGGCACAGCGGTTTAGCGCTTGCCTTTGGCCCAGGGCGCGATCCTGGAGACCTGGGATCAAATCCTACATCGGGCTCCCGGTGCATGGAACCTGCTTCTCCCTCTGCCTGTGTCTCTGCCTCTCTCTCTCTCTCTCTCTCTCTCTCTCTCTCTCTGTGACTATCATAAATAAATAAATTAATTAATAAACCAGAAAGGTTGGTTTTCATTTTCAGATGATGACTGGAGACAGTGTGCTGGGAGGGTTAGAAAAAGACAAAGACTAGAAGCAGGGAGACCAGCTCGGAGACTTGCAATAATCCAGTCTAGGGATGATGAGAGCCTACACTAAAGTATTGGCAGGAGGGATGGAGAGAGGCTGTTGGACTTATAAGATATTTAGGAAATAGCCCCCCCCCGCCCCCCCCGCCCCCCTGTGGCTTAGAGGTTTAGTGCTGCCTTCAGCCCAGGGCGTGATCCTGGAGGCTCCGGGATCAAGTCCCACGTCAGGCTCCCTGCATGGAGCCTGCTTCTCCCTCTGCCTGTGTCTCTGTCTCTCTCTCTCTCTCTGTGTGTGTGTGTGTCTAATAAATAAAATCTTTAAGAAGATATTTAGGAAATAAAAGAAATAGGAAATGCCAACTGGGTAACTGATGAGTAACAGTGCCCTTGCACGAAGAAAGGAAACAGATCGGGGACATGAGGAATGATCTTTTTTTTTTTCACCTCTTAACTTAAAGCCAATTAAAATCAAAGGAGACATATGCTTGAGGAATAATGATTCAGAAGTTTACTATTTTTTAATCATTTGATGTGAACTTTTTTTTTTTTTAATGATTCTATTTATTTGAGAGAGAGAGATAGCAAGAGAGCATGAGCAAGGGGGAGAAGGAGAAGCAGACTCCCTGCCGAGCAGGGAGCCTGATGTGTGAGGCTTGATTCCCAGGACCCTGAGACATGACCTGAGCTAAAGGCACACGCTTAATCAAGTGAGTCATCCAGGTGCCTCTTGAGGTGAACTCCTTAATGAACTGTTTTTTCTTTTCTCACCATTATCTATAAATGCCTAGCATAGTGCCTGACATATGATCAGTAACTATTGAATTCAACCCACCTACCTTAAAAGTACAAAATAAAGAATATTAGTTTATGACAAAAAATATACTTCAGTTTATACGTTGTAGCCTAAAAATTTAGAGGAATTAAAAGGAGAAAGAAGGATGGAAAGAAAAACTGAGGACTTGAGAGAGAATGAACCCTCTTATAAATAGAGTGGTGGCAGGATTCTCCTGTTTATTTATTTTTTAATTAATTAATTAATTAATTAATTAATTATGATAGTCACAGAGAGAGAGAGAGAGAGGCAGAGACACAGGCAGAGGGAGAAGCAGGCTCCATGCACCGGGAGCCCGACGTGGGATTCGATCCCGGGTCTCCAGGATCGCGCCCTGGGCCAAAGGCAGGCGCCAAACCACTGCGCCACCCAGGGGTCCCTCTCCTGTTTAATCCTTGCTTCTGCTCTTAGGATGTGAATTGATTGTTTCCTTCTGTGTCTTTTCTGGAGTCCCAATCCCTGATAGGCAGCACTTTATGTATATATAAAAGAGCATATACTGGGACGCCTGGATGGCTCAGTGGTTGAGCACCTTCAGCTCAGGGTCTGATCCTGGGGTCCTGGGATTGAGTCCCATATCAGGCTCCCTGCATGGAACCTGCTTCTCCCTCTGCCTGTGTCTCTGCCTCTCTTTCTGTGCCTCTCATGAATAAATAAATAAATCTTAAAAAAATAAAAAAATAAATCTTGGTTCTACTACTAACTAGTAGTTAGTTAACTTTGGACCTAACCTGTCTATGCTATAGTTTTCTCATTGGTAAAGGGTTAACAGTAGATCCTTCTCTCAGATAATTGTCACAAGGATTAGATAAATTAATGCCTAATTAAAAACAAAAAATCTCTTTTTTTTCTTTTTCTTTCTTTCTTTCTTTTTTTTTTTTTTTTTTATGATAGTCACAGAGAGAGAGAGAGAGAGGCAGAGACATAGGCAGAGGGAGAAGCAGGCTCCATGCACCGGGAGCCCAATGTGGGATTCGATCCCAGGTCTCCAGGATCGCACCCTGGGCCAAAGGCAGGCGCCAAACTGCTGTGCCACCCAGGGATCCCCCAAAAATCTTATCTATTGATCTTTGTTCAAAACCTGGCCTGTTCTGACTTCTTTAATTTCTCCATTGTCCTCACCCTTTTAGCAGCTAGGGCTTATATTGGGCTATATCCTTTTTTCTGGGTGGGGCCTAGTATTTTGGCCTAGAAATGTACCGTGCTGATAGATATATAGCTTTCACTCCTTCCCTTTCCCTACTCCCAGCTAATGACCATTTAGTTTATTTTCTCCTTTTTACTATTAGAAACGTTCTGCTTCATAGCTACATTTGAAACAGGATTTATGCAGTTTTTATTTTTTTTTTTTTTTTTTATTTTTTTTTTTTTTAAGAAGATAGACTTTTTTTTTTAATTTTTTTTTTTTTTAAATTTATTTATGATAGGCACACAGTGAGAGAGAGAGAGGCAGAGACACAGGCAGAGGGAGAAGCAGGCTCCATACACCGGGAGCCCGACGTGGGATTCGATCCCGGGTCTCCAGGATCGCGCCCTGGGCCAAAGGCAGGCGCCAAACCGCTGCGCCACCCAGGGATCCCTATGCAGTTTTTAAATAATTATTGAAGCATAATGTTATATTAGTTTCAGGTGTACAGCATAGTGATTTGACAATTCTGTGTAATACTGGACACCATGATAAGTGTAGTCACCATACAAAGTTTTTACAGAATTATTAACTATATTCTCTATGCTGTACTTTGCATTCTGTGACTTATTTATTTTATAACAAGAAATTTGTCCCTTTTATCTATCCAGTCATTCTTTTTTTAAAGTAATTTATTCTTTTTCTAAAAATAGCATTATTGAAGAAAACAGCTTTATTGAGGTATAATTTATATACCATAAAATTTACCAACTTTAAGTTTACAGTTCAATGATTTTTTGTATAACCATAGTCATAAAACCAGTTTATAATATTCTGGTACCCTTGGAAGTTCCCTTGAGTGTGTTTATTGTCAGCCCCCCTTGCATCCTCCAGCACGCACAGATTTGCCTTCTAACTAACTGTGTTTTGCCTTTTCTAGAAATTTTCACATAAATGGAATTGTGCAATACTTAATTTTATTGTCTGGCTTCTTTCACTTAGCTGTTTTTGAGGTTACCTGTGTTGTGGCATGTATCAGTAGTTCTTTCCTTTTTTTTTTTTTATTTTTTTAAAGATTATTTATTTATTTATTTATTCATGATAGACATAGAGAGAGAGAGAGAGGCAGAGACACAGGCAGAGGGAGAAGCAGGCTCCATGCCGGGAGCCTGACGCGGGACTCGATCCCGGGATTCCAGGATCGCTCCCTGGGCCAAAGGCAGGTGCTAAACCACTGAGCCACCCAGGGATCCCCTAGTTCTTTCCTTTTTAATGTTGACTAGTATTACTTTGTTTGGATGTATACATTTTATTTATCCATTTACCAGTTGACATAGACAGATGGCTTCTATACTCTTCCTGCAAATAAAATCTTTTACACAACCTAGAAGCTTTCACTTATTCTTTTCAAGACCACTGCTAATAGACCTTTGATTCTTATGGGAAAGAGGAGCTCAGGGCTCTGCCTTTTTATCCCTTGAGGTACTTCTTTAGAAACCTAGGAATATAGCTTGAAAATTACCAATCTAAAGCATACTGTAGAAATTTCCTATCCTTCATTAAGAAAATGTGGATAAATGCAATATCCAGATGAAATGAAGAAAAACTTTGAAGTGTTAGGGAAAGATTTTTTTCTTTTTAAGCCAGAATGTGTGATAGATGCACTATATTTCCCTTTCGTAGATGATGTTGGAATGATGATGTTCCCTTTATGTACAACTTGGCTTTTCAGCAAATGCTTTGGGGGAATGGGTTAGAGTTTCATGCCTGCTCAGTGGAATGCTATTTTAGTGGACTTTTATTTTTATCTGTCTAGTTATTCATATAGTTTTTTTTTTAATTTTTCTATCAGGGAATTATTATAGTTTGCGTTCTCAACATGAGAAAGCAGCCTTATATTTCCAGAGAGCCCTGAAATTGAATCCTCGGTATCTTGGGGCCTGGACACTGATGGGACATGAATACATGGAAATGAAGAACACATCTGCTGCTATTCAGGCTTATCGGTGAGTTTCTACTTGAGGGGTGAGGTGGAGGGGATTATTGTGATGTTCAGAACCTCTCTTGAACCTACAAGTTGCTAACCTTGACTCTGCCCTCTTAACAGTTTCTCTTCCATTTCTTAGACACGCCATTGAGGTCAATAAACGAGACTACAGAGCCTGGTATGGGCTTGGACAGACCTATGAAATCCTTAAGATGCCATTTTATTGCCTTTATTATTATAGACGGGCGCATCAGCTTCGGTAAGTCTGACCAGTTAACGATGTGTTTGTTATGAGAAGAGCTGATACTTTACCTTTTGATTGCTATTATCCCTCTGCCTGTGTCTCTGTCTTTCATGAATAAATAAATAAAATCTTTTAAAAAAAATAGTATAGTTATGAACACAAAATATATAATTATGTGAAATATGAGATTAAAGATCAATTACTGTATAGATTTGAAATAGTGGGGAGGACTTTTTTTTAAAGTCTTTGCTTAGACTGTTCCTCTCTTTTTTTAGGCCCAATGATTCTCGTATGCTGGTTGCTTTAGGAGAATGTTATGAGAAACTCAATCAACTAGTGGAAGCCAAAAAGGTACCTGTAGTTGTGTCCTGGAAAATTTGAGTGGAAATCAGCAGTTTGGTTGAAGGGTTGGACCCTCTGTGCTCTAATCGTCCTTCATTTTGATCTATCTACAGGCAAAAGTCTTAAGTATTTATAGGCGGATAGGCTAAAAAAGCAAAGCAGTGTTGACATCATCAGTGGGAATATCAGTCTAGGCAAAATGCTTTGCATTCTGCAAATCCACATTTCAGGCACGGCTTGGAGGACTTGCCCCTTTATGTGGTAGGTCATGGCACATGGGACAACTGTCAAAGTGACCAGTTTATTGTTTTAACAGTGTTATTGGAGAGCTTACGCCGTGGGAGATGTGGAGAAAATGGCTCTGGTGAAACTGGCAAAGTGAGTGAAATGCTGTTATTTCTGTTGGCTTCTCTGGTATGGTGCATCATGTGCTTTATCACTAGCACACTTTGAGATCCAGTTTGTACTTACAGACCAATTTATTTTGTAGGCTTCATGAACAGTTGACTGAGTCAGAACAAGCTGCCCAGTGTTACATCAAATATATCCAAGATATCTATTCCTGTGGGGTATGTGTCATGAGCATGAGAATTGGGTTGTTTATCTCATTCTGACCACCTCAGTCACTCCTGCTTTCCCTGTCTAGGAGATAGTGGAGCACCTGGAGGAGAGCACTGCTTTCCGCTATTTGGCCCAGTACTATTTTAAGTGCAAGCTGTGGGATGAAGCTTCAACTTGTGCCCAGAAATGTTGTGCATTCAATGACGTGAGTAGCAGTTCTTTACTAAAGGGTTTGGATTTTAAGCTCAACCATATAATCTTTACTGTGATCTGAGGTGAAAAGCCAAGTGGAAAGAGTACCTGGACCTATGAAACTTTCGTATCAGCATTTTAGAACTTGTTTTTGAAAATAGCCTTGGATATATTTTGAAACAGTCGCCTGACTTTATTTCAGACCCGGGAAGAAGGGAAGGCCTTGCTCCGGCAAATCCTACAACTTCGGAACCAAGGCGAGACTCCGTCTACTGAGATGCCTGCTCCCTTTTTCCTCCCTGCTTCCTTATCTGCTAACAATACTCCCACACGCAGAGTTTCTCCACTCAACCTATCTTCAGTCACACCATAGTTGGCTACTTTCAAGCCAGCACATTACTAGACCCCATGTTAAGCCTTACCTCCATGTAAGGAATGGCCACATCTGCTCTTCCAAGGACCTTGGTTTTTTGTTTGTACAGATGCATACAGCTCCTTGGGGACAGTTTATAGAATCACCTTTGGTGTAGACTGATGGGAGAATCCTGGCAGCAACAGACATTGTCTTTTGCCAGTTAGAAGCACTTCTGTTTCTCTTCTGTTCAGAGCCTGGCTACGGATCTTGGCCTTCTTCCCAGACCTTTTTCCCCCTCTAAAAGACATCCCTTTAACAGCACTTTAGCACAGGCAAGGCTTACAAAGTTTTAATGCTGCTGGGAGTGAGAGATTTCTTTAGATAGGCATGGAAGGGAGAAAAGTGTGCCATTCTACCCTGCAGGCAGTAGAGGCACTGGATACCCCAGGAAGGTCAGGGCACTGGATAGATATGACCTCATCATTTTTGGACTTACTGAACTTGACTATGCTAGAAGAGGCAAGATTTGAACAGAATGAAGTTGTAATTCGTTCTTGCTCTGTGGGGACGTTCTTCCAAAACATTTTAAGGACTCTTCCTAGAAATTTTTGATAGGAAGGAACTTACTAGTTGAATGAAAGAGACAAAAAGGATCTTACTTTGTGTGGAACCCCATTGATGGCAAAAAAGCCTATAGCGTTAGCTTTTTTTTTTTTTCCTAAAGCAAAGTAAGGAGGCAGGATTAACAGATAATTTCATGAACATTCAGGCGTGTTATGTTTTGTGACTATATAGACAAGAATAAACTCCCTTCAAGCTAGTCTGTTGTAATAAGTATTTTTGATGTAGTTATTTTTCTCCTCCCTGTTTATCTTCAACAAAATGGTTCTTTTCAGCCTTCAGCTATTTAGACAAGGTAAAGGGAATCATTCTTGCTGTGTTCTTGGAAGGTTTCAGGCCTGGGTATGTGTATTCAGTAGGAGCTAATATGCTATGACTATGATGTCCACTGTACTAAATTTGAACTGTAGATGCCATGGATTATTCTGAGCTCAGGGCCTAGCCTTCCTTTATCGTTTCCAGAACAAATTTGTTACCCTCTCACCTCCTAAGGCATGACGCTTTATTTTATATTAAGGAAGTTTTTTTTTATATATATTAAGGAAGTCTTACAGAATCTAATGTCCCTTGAATTCATTTCTTACAAAGCTTTTCTTAGCTTAGCTGTACACTAGTTACACAGCTCCACTGCCATTCCTGTGCAAGGTTCCAAGGGGCCTGAATGATGTTTAATTTTCAGTTGTTTTTCCTATTTTGTAAGTTCTGTCTTAATGAATTTGTTAAATTTGGAATTCAAACAAAAAATGTGAAAACACAAAAAATGTGAATAAAATGTTTATTTAATATAACTTTTTGTGTGCAGAGAGCATATGCATATAAGTAAAAAAGTATGAGATTACATAGGGGATTATAATACAAAAGGGAGGAAAATAACTAGTATCTGTATATTGCATTCCGGATACAGTTCCAGGTATTGGTAAAGCTTAAAAGAGACCTATTTCTCAAGCAGCTGACTTGCCTCAGGGCAATGACTCTCTCCTTTCCCACAGCCTTAGTATTTTTTGCCAAAAGGCCCAGATTTGAGTAAAGGGGAGCGTCGTGAGCGCAGGATCCGGGCATAAGGGCTGCAGTCTGTGGAGCTTTGGCAGGTGGGTGTTCTGGGAAGTAAATTTCGAAGAAATGGTTTCTTCCCTGGGGGCTGTTGGTTTGGTTGCTGGTTTTCCTGGTTGGTGCCAAGGCGCTTTTTGGTAGAAGCTTGGCCTTGGAGTTTTAGTACAGTATGATACTGTTCTGCGATGCATGCTGCCTTCTTCCGAAGGTCCAGTTTTACTAGCATCATGTTATTCTGTAGCTCAGCCAGGGTCTGATCCTAAGGAACATGAATAAAGTTAAAGAAAACCTTTTAGTCTGGTGTATTAGAGAAACTAAAGGGCAAGTTAATACATGCTATCCACTACCCAGTTATTTTAAATTAAAGATTTTATGAGAGAGACAAAGAGAGAGGCAGAGACACAGGCAGAGGGAGAAGCAGGCTCCATGCGGGGAGCCCAATGCAGGACTTGATCTGGGGACTCTAGGATCATGCCCTGAGCCGAAGGCAGACACTTAACCGATGGGTGCAGCGATTACCAAAAATAAATAGGGCAGCCCAGGTGGCTCAGTGGTTTAGCACCGCCTTCAGCCCCAGGCCTGCACCGCCTTCAGCCCCAGGCCTGATCTTGGAGACCCGGGATCAAGTCCCATGTCAGGCTCCCTGCAAGGAGCCTGCCTCTCTCTCTCTCTCTCTCTCTGTGTCTTTCATGGATAAATAAATAAAATCTTAAAATAAATAAATAAACTTAAAAAAACACACACAGCTTTTTTTAAATCTAAGAGGTTTTTTTTTTTTCTTCACTCTAGAATCAGGGTGCACTTATAACAACCGTCATAGCTTAATGGTTAGTGTTTTGTCCTATTGGAATATAAAATAACAGGTTTTTTTTAAAAGATTATATTTGTTTATCCATGAGAGAGAGAGAGAGACAGAGAGAGGCAGAGACACAGGCAGTGGGAGAAGCAGGCTCCATGCAGGGAGCCTGACGTGGGACTTGATCCCAGGTCTCCAGGATCAGGCCCTGGACTGAATGCAGTGCTAAACCGCTGAGCCACCCAGGCTGCCCAAAAATAACATTTTCTTAAAAATTATGCATTTGGCTTTTTCTTTTGTCTTTTTAAATGTAGAGTTTTACTTTTTTAAGTAGGCTCCATATCAAATGTGGGGCTTGAACTCATAACCCTGAGATCAAGAGTCACATGCTTTAAAAAAAAAAAGTCACATGCTTTATTGACTGAGCCAGCCAGGTGCCCCTTAAAAATCTATATATTTTAGATGAAATATGATAATATCTACTTCCATAGGGTTTTTTTTTCTGTCTAGGAAGTTTTATAGTTTTGCTTTCCATTTACATCTATGACCCATTTTGAATTAATTTTTGTTTATGGTACAAGGAATGGATGGATGTTAATGACACCAGATAGAATCAGTCATGACGAGTGTACTGAATGAGAAGTGCAGAGGGCAGATGGAACCCCGTCCTAGGGTGGGGGTGGGAGAAACCACGGCTAAGGGGATTGTGGGTACTGGTCCTTCCCCCAGACGTTGAGCGGGGAAGCTGTGCACAGACCCCCCCCCCCACCGCCCTCTGGCTGATGGACCCTCCGCCTTGCGGCCCAGCTGCTGGCAGCTCACTTCCATAGGGTTGTTATAACAGAAAATGCCTATAAATTATTTCTAGTGCCTTGTACTTAGTAAATACTCACATATACTCTGGAGTAAGCTGATGGGAGAGAAGAGATACAGGGTGTCCTAACCTGTTTGATTAAGATGTCATCACAAGTGTTCAAAGCTTGGCGAAGTTTTCCTGCCCCAGTGCTGTGGCAGCAGGCTCTTTCTGCTGACTGGAGAGACTCACCAAGTTTCTGAAGCTCTGTCCTCAGCAGCCTGATATTCTGAAAAGAATAAGAGTAGGAACCACATTGTGGCTATGATCGACCAGAATAATGATCTGTAGGAGTTGGACAGCCATTTGAAGAGAAATAAACTTAGAAAGGCTGGTCAGCTCTATGAAGTGGCTACTCTGCAGGACTGTGCACAAAGGCCCCCTGCTCTTCACATAAGCCACAGACAACAGGGTTAAAAGTTGCCTTTAGGTATATGAGCCTTGGTAACAGAGAAAGGTGTAAATTACCTTTTGGCCCTCCTCTAATTTCTTGTCCACATCAATGGTAAAGGGCTTGGCTGAGGGGGGTGGTTCTAACATTTTCTGATACTTCTGTAGTTCTGAGGGAAGGAAACAAGAAACTTCAACATGTAGGCTTTCTAGCCTTGGACTTACCGCTTAAGTGAATTAATAGTAGCTTGCAGCAAATACATAAAAAATGAGGCCATATGCATCCTAAGAGTGGAAAGGTCGGGAGGATATAGCTCAGAGTTGAGGAAATTATCTTGGAGTTGGGAGTCAGAAGGCCCAAGTTTGAAGAACAATTCTTCTCTGAACCACTTTATGCTTTGTGCCCTCTCTCCTTTACCTTCAGTGGTGGAGTTTAGCTCTGCTCTGCACTGTTCCAGTTTAGCGGTAAGCTCCTGGAGCTGCTGATTGGAGGCAGAAGCTGCCAACCTTTGTGACCGCCGAAGGGACAATTCAGACCCTGATTGTTGATGGACTATTGGCTGCTGTCTGGCTTCCTGCAAAAGAGCTTCTAGCTCTTCAATTTTCTCATCCCGTTCCTAAGAGGGAAGCAGAGAGCACAGTTCCATCCAGAGTCAGACAAATCCTGCAGGGCAAATGACTTAATGGTGTACAAAACCTTCCCTGACAATTATGCCTCAAAGGCCTATAACAGGGTGCCTGGGTGGCTGGCTCAGTTGGTTAAGCATCTGACTTTGGCTCAGGCCATAATCTCGGTCCTGGGATTGAATTCCAAATCAAGCTTTGCACTCATTGGAGAGTCTGCTTCTCCCTCTCCTTCTGCCCCTTCCCTCTGCTCATGCGCCAGCCCTCTCTCTCACAAATAAATAAAATCTTAAACAAACAAAAAAAGCCTGTTAGCACGTAAACCATTTCCAAGCCAACCAGACCCTTAATCAGTTCATAAACTGGGACGACACCTGGATGGTGGCTCAGTAGTTGAGCATCTGCCTTTGGCTTAGGGAGTGATCCTGGAGTCCCTGGATTGAGTCCCACATCGGGCTCCTGGCAGGGAGCCTGCTTCTCCCTCTGCCTATGTCTCTGCCTCTTTCTCTCTCTCTGTCTCTCATGAGTAAATAAAGTCTTTAAAAAAAAAAAAAGATTTATTTATTTATTCATGATAGAGAGAGAGAGGCAGAGACACAGGCAGAGGGAGAAGCAGGCTCCATGCCGGGAGCCCGATACAGGACTCGATCCGGGGACTCCAGGATCGTGCCCTGGGCCAAAGGCAGGCGCCAAACCACTGAGCCACCCAGGGATCCCTAAATAAATAATGTCTTAAAAAAAAAGAATTCATAGATTGACACATATACAGTACTAAGGAGACTAGAAAAAACTGAGTTACATATTCCTGCCCTACCAGAGTTTATAAAATCTGTTTACATCAGACAAGCTAAAGGTGGGAATCAGTGGCTAGTTGGGGCTGATTCAGAGCAACTCACCTGAAGCTCTTCTTGGTAAAAGCTCGTAAGTGACTCCTTGAGGATCTTTAGTTTCTCTTCATACATTTCCTCTAATAGTTCCTTTTGGGTGTCCAAATGTTCACTGTCAGAGGATAAAAATGGATAAAGAGGATGGGGTATGTACACACACATGCACGCACAGTGGAATGTTACTCAGCTATAGAGAATGAAATCTTGCCCTTTGCAATGACATGGACGGACTGAGAAAATATTACGTTAAGTGAAATCAGAGAAAAACAAAATACCATATAATTTCATTTTTATGTGGAATCTAAAAAACAAATGAACAAAAAAGCCACTTAAAACAGACTTGGGGATCCCTGGGTGGCTCAGTGGTTTAGCACCTGCCTTTGGCCCAGGGCGTGATCCTGGAGACCCGGGATCGAGTGCCATGTCGGGCTCCCTGCATGGAGCCTGCTTCTCCCTCTGCCTGTGTCTCTGCCTCTCTCTCTCTCTATGTCTTTCATGAATAAATAAATAAAATCTTAAAAACAAACAACCCTCCCCCCCCCAAAAAAACAAACCAACCCAAAACAAACAAAAAAACCACAACAGACTTAATGTATTTAAATACAGGGAACAAACTGGTGGTTGCCAGAGGGCAGGGAGATGGGAAGAACTGATGAAATAGATAAAAGGAATTAAAAGGTACAAACATTCAATTATAAAATAAGTAAGTCACAGAAAAGTACAGCATAGGAATATGGTCAGTAACATTGTAATAATGCATGGTTGACAGGTGCTGACTACACTTACTATGGTGAACACTGAATAATGTATAGAATTGTCAAATCTCTAGGTTGTACACGTGAAACTAATATTGTGTGTCAATTATACTTTTTTTCCCTAAAGATTTCATTTATTTATTCATGAGACACAGAGAGAGGGGCAGAGACACAGGCAGAGGGAGAAGCAAGCTCCATGCAGGGAGCCCGATGTGGGACTTGATCCTGGGACTCCAGGCACTCAACGGCTGGCAGGCACTCAACGGCTGAGCCACCCAGGGATGCCCTCAATTATACTTCGATAATAAATTTTTTTTAAAGAGAGAAAGAGTGGGGGATGCCTAGGTGGCTCAGTGGTTGAGTGTCTGCCTTTGGCTCAGGGTGGTTCCCCAGGGTCCAGGGTTGAGTCCCACATCAGGCTCCCTGCATGGAGCCTGCTTCTCCCTCTGTCTATGTCTCTGTTGCTGTGTCTCTCTCATGAATAAAATCTTAAAAAAGAGGAAGAGTGAGTCGGGGCAGTGCAAGAGGGAGAGAGAGAATCTTAAGCAGGCTCCATGTGCAGTGCAGAGCCCAGTGCGGGGCTTGATCTCACAACGCTGACATAATGACCTAAGCCAAAATCAAGTGTTAGAGGCTTAACTGACTAAGTCACCCAGGAGCCCCAATAATAAATAAAAAAGAAGAATAGAAGAAGAAGAAAAGGGAGTGAAGATTCTGAGGAGTAAATTTGGAGGACAGATTTTTTTAAAGATTTTTATTTATTTATGAGAGACAAAGGAGGGGGGTTGCAGAGACACAGGCAGAGAGAGAAGCAGGCTCCGTGCAGGGAGCCCAATGTGGGACTTGATCTCGGGTCTCCAGGATCACGCCCTGGGCCAAAGGTGGCGCTAAACCGCTGATCCCCCCAGGCTGCCCTGGAGGACAGATCTTGAGGCACAACTTTATCCTAGTCCCAATTCCTCACCCTCTCTCTGGACCATTTGACAGACCAAGAGCTATCACTCAGCTGATACCTGCACCACTGTTCCCGTTGTTGCATCTGTTCCACCATCTCATTGCAAATTTCATCACGGAGCTGCATCTCCAGCTGCAACTTTTCCTGCCTTTCTTTACAAAGCAATGCTTTCATGGTTTCCACCACCTGCAGGAGCTCCTGGAGGGACACACAGGTCAGAAGTGATTGGATGTCCATGCCCCACAAATGTAAAGGTCCACCTGGAAGGCAGCATGGAAAATACGTAGCCATCAAGCAGCTACACCAGAGGTTTCTTGTACTCTCACCTCCTTGCCATAAATGGAGATGTCAACTTCATTTTCAGTGTCATCAAGGCCTGGATCTGTCTTAGCTACCATCTCTAAGTTGGGAGATGCTCGTAGACTGTGTTCCTTGATGAATGAATGTAGCAATGGGAATCCCAGTTGCACAGGTGGAGCATGCACAAGCTAGGTGGGGAGGGGGTGGGAAAGCAATTAAATTCATAACCTAATAGTTTCCTTAAGTAAAGGTACCAGCCCTAAGTAAACACAATCATCACACCTATAGTTTCTTACCCGGCTGGCAATGGCTGAGAACTTGGCCACGTGAAGGGTCTCATCATAGGTAGATGCACATGGATTCACATTGACAATCATGCAGGAGCGGCCTCGACCTGTGAAGAAGCCTTGGAATACCCGAGTCAACTTGCTGTCACGGAAGGGAACCAGGTTCTGCTTTGACCTAGTAGGGGATCAGAGAACAGAGCTGTGAGCAGAATTCCAGCCCTTGGAGCATCCTAGCATCACACCTAGTGATGACCAGGAAGTCTCTTAGCAAAACGCAGTGCATTCCAGACCATCCCAAACCAGGGCTTATAGTCAGAAGCTCACCGATTCTGCTGGTTTTGGCGCAGGGCAGCAATACAACGGCCCAGGGTGTGCAGAGAAGTATTAATGTTTCCTGCTTCCTTTAGTCGATCACCACTTTTCTGATCTTTGCAGCGCTCTGAGCCAGCCAGATCACAGAATGACAACCTTGAATGGTGGACAATATCTGACATAAGGACCCCACATGTTATGAGCTTTCCAGCCCTTCATATACTTCTGGGAAGGGGAGGACCCACCAAGAATCTCTGTACCCAAGGAAGTGGAGCCAGACTCCAATAGAAGTAATTCCTCTGAGGACCTCCCTTACCCCCTACCTCCAACACCATTTATGACCAAGAAGCCCAGATTTCTGAATGGAAAAACTTACTCGCTGATCTTCGGGATGATATCCCCTTCCCCCTGAAGGTGCAGGATACGTATTGAGAAGATGCTATGACTGTAAATCAAGAAAAAAAAAGTCACTGTGTATCCTCCATGACCAGATAGATGACTACAGTTTCCTAGAACACAGTGAAAAGCTGACTCCCACAGCCCACTCACCTGCGGCTAGAGTTCTGGTTCAGATGGGTGCTGGCAAAGCTCTGGTTTTTACGACCCACTTTGAGCAGTTTCCAGGCCTCTTCAGCATCCTGAATATGAATCCAATTGAGATCTGAGGCAAAGAAGAGAAAGGCATACATAAGATGGGAACACCTAACTTTTCTGGGTTTCTCCCAAGTCCCATTTCTGGGTTGTTGCCAGCCTCCCACCTTCTAATACCTTTCACATAGGGGTTGCCATTCTGATCCTCACACAACCGCAGAGTCTGCCTCTTGCGCTGCTGGCTAGGTGGTTCTAACAGGTCGTAAAGCAGTTCATTGTAGATCTCAAAGAAGGAGATCCAGACGGAGAAGCGGATGTCTGCAGGGACACTCACAGGGCTGGTGTCTGGCTGTGCCCATCGGGGACTCGTTTCTGGGGAAGAACCCATGTACAATGCATCAACTCTAGAGTAGTCCATCTCCTCTTTGGTCTGCAGGGGCCTTAGAAGGAGCAGTTTAGGTTGAAACCTCTGGTTTATACTCCTGGCAGCTATTGGGAGTAAGGGAGTAGGTTTCTACTGTTACTTGACACACAGTCCAGTCGTGGTACATACCATCCAGCTGGCTACTGCTGGTCATGTGACTGGAGGAGAGTCCAGCAACACCACTATCAAAGCTGCTGCTGGTACCCATCCGACCTTCAATGTAGACACTCCTCTTCAAGGAGGTGGACAGCTCCTCCTGGAGGGGCCCAGGGAGAAGATAAGCACAAAACTTTCCACAGATTTGTCCTCTTAACCCCACCTCTGTGAACTCCAACACTACACCTCTTGGAGGCCTCCATTTAGCAGAGACAGTTTCTTCATTTCCTCCTGTCGCATCTGCTTGCTGTCTAGCCAGATCACCTCATTGAAGAGTATGGGCTTCAGATCAGGTGTTGGATGAAGTTGGCCTTGGAGGCTATTGAAGATCAGAGCAAGCGACCGGGGTAGGATCCCTCCATCCTTGATGGTACCTGGAAGTATGTCAAAGATGGACAGCTGAGAGCTCTTCCCCAATTCAAAGCATCAAAAGGCAAAGAAAATACCATTATAGGCCAATCAGTAATTCTGTGAGGCCTACTACTCACCTTGAATTGTGTGGGTTTTCCCTGAGTTGGTGACTCCATATGTATAGATGAGCCAGTTCTGCCCTTTGAGTACATCTTTTACCATCTCCTTCACGGTCAGGTTGAAGAAAGATGCCTGTCCCACTTCTGGCCCAAAGATCTAGAGACAGACCCAATTTCTCAGAGGTCCATCCCTCATCTCTCACTTGCTCCTATGCAGAGCCAGCAGATGCATCCCTTCCTGGGTGATTGGCTCTGGAGACTATAGTCAAGTAACTTCTTCCTGCAGTGCCATTAGCTGCTCTCTAAACACTGAAGACTAACCACTCTCTGCCAGTCCATCTTTCGTCAAAATCAATCAAAGAAATGCAAACCACTACGTCTGATGCTATACACACAATGGGGCAACATAGTAACCACAAGTGTGGGCTTTGGAGATGGATGGTTATAGATGCAAGGCCTAACTCTACCACTGACCAGCTACATGGCTTCAGCAACATAACTTTCACTGGGTCATAATATCCTTATCAGGAAAATAGGGACAAGAATGATAATAATAATGGAGATGTTGGGAATTAATGCACAAAAAGTACTTGATGCACTAACTAGCACATAACATGAGTCCTCAAAATTATAGACATGCATATTCAAGGAACTCACAGTGAAGTAAAAACCTTCCCTGCTAAAGAGAGAATAAAGTTGCCCCTAATATGTTGGTCCCTTATTCATAAATCAATAAATACCTCCATACCTGGGAAAAGGTGAATCTATGGGCAGCTTGTCCAATTCCCCGCTCACTGCTCTTCTGGGCAAAGGAGTCCTTGGGTGCCTGTAGAACAAGGGTCTCCATATTCTCGATACGGACACAATCCTGAGAAGCAGTAAAGAAATCACAGAAGGAAATAATCTTGGGAACCTTTCCTGTATTGCATCATTCCATCTTGAATCTTCCCTTCTCAGACACTCACCTGATCTTCCTGTCGTTCCAATTCTGAGGGTAACAAGGGCCTGACCCTCAGGTATACTTTCACCTTCTCTGTACTATCCTCACATGGAACCTGTGGCAGAATTCCAGGCCAGAATCAGCAGTTACTTCCAAGCAGATGGGCAAGCATAGCATATTTCCAGAGAATCATGCTGACACTATACCATTTCAACCCAAATGTCTGTACACTACTCTACAGTTCCATAATCATTCCAACCCACATGGGTTTTTTCACTGTTTTATCACCCTTCACTGTCTTCAGTATCCTGGCAACACAGCCTGCCACACTGACTTTCTGAATTAGAACTGGTTAATTGGTAAGAAAATCACCATATGATATTACAGCAAAACTCGGTAGTTAAGCACCTTGGAGGCAAACCTAAATTTGAGTTCCAATTCCATCATTTAGAACTATGTGATCTTGAACAAGTTCTTTAGATTGTCTGCCTCTGTTTATGTATCTGTAGAATTGTGTTAACAATAGAACCCACTTCATTCAACAGATGTTTAGAGATTTGCCTACAATGGCCTGGGAACTCTAAGAGGCTGTGGTGGTCCACAGAAACATTATCAAGGTCTAGCTCTCATGAAACTTTCTCAGGAAGAGACTTCCTAGTAGAGTTGTGTTCAACCAGTGCCATTCCCCAGGCCAAGGAACATTTAGCTATGTCAGGGGAAGGTTCTTGGTTGTCACAGTGGGAAGGAGCTAGTGACATCTAGTGGGTAGAGGACAGGTATGCTGCTAAACATCTTAACAAGGTACAAGACAGACCACTATAACAAAGAATTAGCTGGGCCCTAATGTCAATAATGCTGCAGCTGAGATACCCCAGCTTAGCATAAAGCCTCCATAAATGGAAGCTATGGTTGATATTAAAAACATACTTAATGGCTGTATGGTCTTGTGCAAGTTATTTAACATATCTAGGCCTCATGGTGAAGAGAGAACTGTTAGCCTTCCCTCACAGGACTGAGAGCATGGCACTTGAGAGTGTTTTTAATGGAATGCAAATAATATTCTTCCTACGGACACACAAATTTACATTTTTTTCTTGCCCTGCTCTTAATTTCAAATCAACCTTTCAGACCCTTGGGATTGCTAGTCTTTGACCTAATAGGAATGCGGACAACTGGGAGGCTGAGGCTATCGCTCTGCTGCCAAACCACTGTCCAACCCCTTTACCTGCTGCTGCTTATCCTCCAGGGAGGTGGAGATGACAGAGCAGTCTGATACCAGGTCCTTCCGTACCACAGACCCTAAATCTGCAGCCGTGGACTCAAACATGGGGGAGACTACAACGTCCTCATCTGACAGCAAGCCGGCTGGTGGAGAAAGGATCCCTTGCGACATGGCAGCAGGGGCGGCTTAGGTCTACAAAGAGACAAAAATGGGTAGGGAGGAGAACCTTAAGGGACAGGTGGGGCCGCAAATTCTAGGTAGGAAACAATTTCCTCGCCCCAGGACACCTTCCTCTCGCTCCTTGAATTCCTCCTCCGTTGGCCCTTCAAATGCCAGGAGAGGGGTAGGCGCGAAAGAAGCAGTTAATCAGGTTATAATCCAGTCTTAGGCATTTCCGACCACCAACAGGAATGAATAGATACCTCGCTCCAAAAGCAGAAGCCCACTCTTTAGCGTGCCTCGCCCACCGGCCTCCTTCTCCAGCCTCACTCCAGGCCCAAAGGGAGGACAGAGGTATTAAGGGAAAAAAGGGATGGCGGCCGCATCCTTTGTAAAAGCCTACCCCGCGAGGGCAAGGGCTGGGACCGCCGCAAACTCACCGAACACACGACACTCGCTCCTCCTCGGGTACCGACTCACAAGTCCAGCTGCCGAACCTGGACTTTCGCCGTCGCAGGGCTCAGCTCCACCCATGAGGCGCACCTTTGTTACTGATACAATGTTTTAAATTACGCGCTGTGTTCGTTCGGCCAATCAGACAGCGAAACCTGCAGCTGCCAATCAGCGCAAGGAAAGGGGGCGGGGGAGCCTAGCAGGCGGTTTGCTCTCGGTCGACCGCTCCCCTCCCATGTGGCTCCGGGTTACCAACTGTCGGGGTTAGGAGTTGGGCCGCCTGCAGTTCTTGGCGCTTAACACCGTTCCTTGGACCTTAAGGCACTTCTTTACTTAAAAACCTGAAGGAAATTCTGGGGCCTCAGCGCCATCCTCTTTAGCATGATTCTTCCCGGGAGCCCTCAAGAAGCCTGATTTAGAGCTTCCTCGTCCTGGGGTCTGACTACATTTCCCAGGAGACATCGCGAGCAAACGCCCGGACTCTATTTCCCAGAATCCTGGGCTTCGGCGGTACCAGACTGTCTTCGCTGGGGCGTGGGGGGCAGGCGATTCCAGGGCCAAGATGGCGGCAGGAACGGGTAGTAAGTATGTCGGCTGTTTTTGCGTGGAAGGCCTTTTAGACCAGAAGCTAGGTACTAGACTTCTGCCACGCGCCTGGGGAGTAGGGGCAATGATTGCCCAAGGGCCTAGGGTCTTGAGAGACCTGCGCTCGACCGTATCGTGAAGACTGTCGATCAGAGGCCCACAAGTCTAGGGTTTTGTGTCTCAGGAAAGCTGCGGAGATTTGAGAGAAGCCGTTCAGCGAATGCCTGTGTGTTTGCGAGCTCTGCGGGGTGCGAGATCAAAGGGCTGTGGACACTTGGGTGTGAGGACAAAGATGCTGTGAGCCATATGGAGTGACTTGCTCTCAATAGCCGTTCTTTTTCTGGCCAGCGTTCCTGAGGCCTGTAGTCGATCTCCCGGAGAAATAGGGTACTTTAACTCTTAGCTTTTTCGGCCGCAAGGGAAATTGAGTTTTGTGCATTGAGATGCACATTTTCCTGTTTCATACGTTGAAAAGGCGTTTGAGGTCCGACGGCTCCATGGGGGTGAAAGTACTTCGAGAAGTAAACAAGTTTATGCTAGGGAGGCTGGGCTGTAGGCGCGGCGCGGGGTGGGGGAGGGGAGGGGAGGGGAGGGGAGAGGAAGGCAGCGGCCGCTCGGAATCCTGGGAAAGAAGCCCTGGCGTTCAGATGGGTATAAAGTATTCTTAAAACTGGGCCTGTCGGGAGAACGGCCTTATCTTACTCTGATGTTTTGCCTTCCCTTTAAAAAATAAAACAAAGTAGCCACGTCATTTGAAGAAGTGAAATGTTTTGCCACTCGGTGCAATATGCGTGGAATGAATAGGTACCTGCCTACTGGTAATATTTTAGTAGAGATGAAAATCAGGATTCCGTGATAGTAACTCACTTTGTTCCTAGAAGGTGGAATGTTTTGCATTAGGCTTTTCGTCCTCCCTTTGGGCCTTAGAACTAGTGCTTCAGTGGTTGCTCTCTAAGATTTTTCTCCTTTTAGAACACAAGCTGTTGAGTACTGGCCCTACAGAGCCATGGTCCATCCGAGAGAAGCTCTGTTTAGCCTCTTCGGTCATGAGGAGTGGAGATCAAAATTGGTAAAGTATCTAAGATAGCTGCTTTTTTGAATCTTAGAAACTACTGGATTTTTTTTTTAAACTGGTGGATTCCTGTGGGTTTTTTTTTTTTAAGGTTTTATTTATTTATTTATGAGAGACGGGGCGGGGGTGGGGGGCAGAGACCCGCAGAGGGAGAAGCAGGCTCCATGCTGGGAACCTGATGTGGGACTCCATTCCCCGGAACAGGCCCTGAGCCTAAGCGAAGGCAGACACTCAACCACGGAGCCACCCAGGCAGTCCCTCATTCTGGTTTTGATTTGCATATCCCTGATGTCTAATGTTGAGCGTCTTTTCATATGCTTATTGGTCATTTGTATCTCTTTAGAAAAATGTCTGCTTAGATCCTTTGGATTATTTATGTTATTACTGAGTTTTAAGCGTTCTTTGTATTTTCTGACACAAATTACTTGTCAGATAATTTGCAAATATTTCTCTATTTTGTTTATTGTCTTTTCACTCTCTTGATTGATATCATTTACAACACAAAAGTTTCTATTTTTATTTTTTAAAGATTTTATTTATTCGTGAGAGACACACAGAGAGAGGCAGAGACATAGGCAGAGGGAGAAGCAGGCTCCACGCAGGGAGCCCAATATGGGACTTGTTCCCGGGTCTCCAGGATCATGCCCTGGGCAAAAGGCAGGCACCAAACTGCTGAGCCACCCAGGTGTCCCAGCACAAAAGTTTTTAATTTGATATGTCCAGTTTATTTTTTCTTGTGTTGCTTATGCCTTTGGTGTCATAGCTAAGAAACTATTTACTTCTGTGTTTTCTTTTCAAAGCTTTATAGTTTTAGCTCTACACATTTAGGTCTATGCACTCCATTTTGAATTAAGTTTTGTGTATGCCGTAAGACAAGGGTCTGTTTTGCACGTTGATATGCCCCAGTATCCATTATTTGTTAAAAAGACTGTTCTTTCCCTATTGAAATTGTCTTGGCATTCAGTATTTCTTTTTAAGGACCATAAAGTAGAACTGTGGTTTCCAGCCCTTTTTTTTTTCTAGTGCATATTTATTTATTTATTAATAAAGATTTATTTATTTGAGAGAGAAAAGCAAACAAGTGTGCAAGTGCCTACTGGGAAGGGAAGGAGTGGGGAGGGGCAGAAAGGGCCCTAAGCAGACTACTGTGTGCTGAGTGCAGCCCTGCAGGGGAATGGGGGAGCTCTATCTCTCCAGGCTGAGCTCACAAACCTGAGTGGAAACCAAGAGTCAGATACTTAGCTGACTGTGCCACCCAAGTGTCCTTCCTTTTTTTTATAATAAGTTTTTTTTTAATTTATTTATGATAGTCACACAGAGAGAGAGAGAGAGAGGCAGAGACATAGGCAGAGGGAGAAGCAGGCTCCATGCAGCGGGAGCCCGATGTGGGATTCAATCCCGGGTCTCCAGGATCGCGCCCTGGGCCAAAGGCAGGCGCCAAACTGCTGCGCCACCCAGGGATCCCCCCTTCCTTTTTTATATTTAACATTTGTCTATTTTTCCTCAGGATCTAAGGACACTTTTGTGTGTGTGTGTGTGTGTGTGTGTGTGTGTGTGTGTGTGTAAATTTTAGGTAGTATCTACACCCAGGGTGGGGATTGAACTCACAACTCCGATATCAAGAGTTGCATGCTCTATTGATTAAGCCAGCCGGGAACCCCTAAGTACATCTTTTAATTGTCTTAAGCCTTAAAATTACTTAATATACAAATGTTTATGTGGCATGTCTCTAATTGTTCAAATGAGTTTATTGAGGCATCATTACTGGTTACACTTAGCATTTCTGCAGCTTTATATATTTTTCAAATAACTTTTTTTTTAAGATTTTATTTATTTATTCATGAGAGACACACACAGAGAGAGAAGCAGAGACACAGGCAGAGGGAGAAGCAGACTCCATGCAGGGAGCCTGATGTGGGACTGGATCCTGGGACTCCAGGATCAAGCCCTGGGCCGAAGGCAGGCGCTAAACTGCTGAGCCACCCAGGGATCCCCTCAAATAACTTTTTAAAGGTGAATTCTGGATAGCCTAGATAATGGCTGTTCTTGAACCAAATTAAATGGTAAAAACCCCAAGAGAAAATGAATGTTGCTAAATATCAGGTTAAATATCAGGTTAAAAACAGTGTAAGAACACTTAAGTAAAAATGAAGTTTTATTTATTTTTTTAAAACATTTTATTTAGGGGCGCCTAGGTGGCTTAGTCAGCTGAGCATTTGCCTTCCACTTGGGTCATGATCCTGGAGTCCTGGGATAGAGTCCCTCATCAGGCTCCCTGCTCATCAAGGAGCCTACTTCTCCCTCTCTGCCCCTCCCACCTGTTCATGCTATCTCGTACATGCATACACGCACTCTCTAATAAACAAAATCTTTTTTTTTTTTTTTAAGATTTTACTTATCTATTCATAGAGACAGAGAGAGAGAGAGAGGCAGAGACACAGGCAGAGGGAGAAGCAGGCACCATACAGAGAGCCCGACGTGGGACTCGATCCCAGGCCTCCAGGATCACGCCCTGGGCTGCAGGGAGTGCTAAACCGCTGTGCCACCGGGGCTGCCCCTAATAAACAAAATCTTTAAAAAAAGTTTTATTTAGGGAGAGAGTAGAGGGGGAGAGGAAGGGGGAGAGGGACATGCCGACTCCACACTGAACATATTCTAACACTACCAGTGTTAGCATTTTCTTAGAGTTTCATTACTTGTGTTTCTCTAGCATTAATTTTAAATACATGAGTAAATACATGTTTTTTCTCCCCCTACTTTTTAAACACAAATGGTTTTATACTATATGTACTGTTCTTTGTTTTACCACTGCTTCTCTTTTTTACTTTAGTAAAAAAGGCTCTTGTTTTAAGCAGCTGCGTGGTATTATGATACAGATATACCATAATTTATTTAACTGGTACTCTGATGGACATTTGCTAGTACAGATATAGCCTTGCATAATTATATACAAACTGAAGGTGGAATTATTAGGTCAAAGAATGTATGTGTTCATAGAGTTTGATAAGCACTTCATAATGTTCTACTCATAAATGGTTTCAGTTTACAATCCCATCGGTAATATATCAGGATGCCTCTTTTTCTGTGTCCTGGTTGTTAGATATTTTTGATCTTTGACAGTGTTAAAAAGGTGAGAAATAGTTGTCATGTTTTTCATTTATATTTATCTTATGATGAGTAAGGTTGAATATCTTCATGTGTTAAAGGGCCACTTACTTCCTTCTTTTTTGTAAACTACCTTTTTCCTTTTTTTTTTTTTTTTTTGTTCTTCAATTGGGAGAGAGCTCCTTATACATTAGGGAGATGAGCCATTTGAGCTATGAGTTTTGTTTGTTTGTTTGTTTGTTTTTTTAAGATTTTATTTATTTGGGGATCCCTGGGTGGCTCGGAGGTTTGGCGCCTGCCTTTGGCCTGGAGTGTGATCCTGGAGTCCCAGGATCGAGTCCTGTGTTGGGCTCCT